GAACATCAAGACAGGTGTGATATGTTCCAGAAAACCAATCTCAAGCAAGAACTATATGAACCATGTGCTTTATCCACTTGTGTAGCCAGAGCTGCAATTTAAACAGTTTAATGGAACAGGTACTGTGAATACTGCTAACTGTATTCATGTTTGTAGAGGTATGAAAGCTTGTGCAAAAAGGATTAACACAGCAGGCCTGAGGCTGTGAGTTTTAGAAGGTCCTGTTTGCAGGGCTGGCCCTTGGCTGGCACCTGGGAACTTGGCTCTTAGAATGTTGTCTGCACCCTAACTGATAAGGATGTCTCCCTGTGCCTAGACTGTGCAAACAATGCGATTTACACTGAGCCCCCCCTTTCCTTCTGGGAGTCCGGAATGTGGTACATGCTAGGCAGAAGGTGCCTACTTGCCTGGTCCCCAGTGCGCTTTGTATGACCCCCTCAGGGGAGGGAGAGCATTGGGAGCCTGCATGCAGGTTCCTCCAGCCTTTGCATGTCTTTTCCCTTATGATCCAACTGTGTATCCTTGTTATACCGCTGCAATAAATCTAGCCTTGAGTACAACTATATGCTGAGTCCCATGAATTCTTCTAGAAAATCTCTGGATGTTGGGTTAGTCTTGTGAACCCCCAATAGTTCCACTGCTAGTTGTAACAAAACATGTGGATGCATTTGTTTTATGTTAAAAGCAGCCCCTGGGTCACCCCTAACAGATCTGGTATCTGTTTAGGGTCTTTTTTAAAGTAAGCCACAAATCTAAGTGAAACCAACAAAGAGGAAACAGACAAAGTCATGCATCGCTGAAGGGGAACACGTTCTGAGAAATGCATCGTCAGGTGATTTCATCATTGTGCAAACATCACAGAGTGTACTTACACAAACTTACATTGTATAGCCTGTTGCACATCTAGGGTACATGGTACTAATCTTATGGGACCACTGTCGTATATGCAGTCTGTTGATGACCAAAACATCATTATGCAGCGCATGACTGTATATGTATATACAATTCCAAGATTCCTCTTTACAAAAGCTTACCAAAAAAAAAACAGAGAAAGTGTCCTTGAACTATGCAAATACCTAGGTACCACCTCAGCCTAAGTGGACTCTCTGAAGACGGGCCTGGGAACCTGCAATTCTAACACCTCCTTTCAGGTGGGTCTTATGCACATTTCCATTTGGAACCACTGGCCTCTGGGTCTGAGAATCATTTTGTGTGGAAAGGTCTCAGATTCCTATTTCAAATGAGCCCACTTCTTGGGTCCTGAAGAGCCTCAGGTTTCTGACTCATGAAAGGGTAGAATACCTATCAGACAGGGCTGGATGCACTCCCTGTGTACACACCAGCTGCTGTCCTTCCACTCCCTGCACACATATCCTTCCTGTGTGACTCCCACAGGGTGTAGTCACCAGGAGTACATGGCTGCCAAGCCCGTGTGGTGTCTCCATTTCGGAAAGAAGGGACTTGAGCACACTGCAACATCACAGGCATCTTCCGTACCTGAGCCTCTAGTAGCACCTTCCTTGAACGAGGCTACTTTCGAGACTTGCTGAATGGAAACATGTCTCAGATGTTTGGTCAGCAAGCAGTCAAACAACATTCACTCTGCAGGATCTCTTGGACAGGTCCTTCCTCCCAGGCTCCAGCATCTTCTGAAAGCTATACAACGTTGGTCCCAGGAGCAGGACTGAGTGTTCAACCAGGAAGCAAAGTCCCTACCTGTTCTGTCCAGCCCACCGTAGGCAAGGGATTTCCCATCTCAACCTCAGGGTTGTACATGAATCATGAGGGCTATGTTACTTAAAGGGGTTTATGAAAGGTACCCGGTAACCGCCAGAGTGACCTTGGGGAAGTACATTCAGTACCTGGTGGCTATGCAAACTCACACACCTGTCTTGCCCCTTCAGAAGGGATTCTACTGGGCCGGCCCTGTGGCTTAGCGGTTAAGTGTGCGCCCTCCGATGCTGGCGGCCCGGGTTCAGATCCCGGGCACGCACCGCTTCTCCGGCCATGCTGAGGCCACGTCCCACATACAGCAACTAGAAGGATGTGCAGCTATGACATACAACTATCTACTGGGGCTTTGGGGGGGGGGGAAATAAATAAATAAAATCTTTAAAAAAAAAAAAAAAAAGAAGGGATTCTACCCAGTTGTACCAAGATGCCAGCACCTTTCAGGTCCCTACTCTTGGGGCCCATTGACTTCCTCGTGATAAGGCTTCTGGAAAATCAAGTCTTAAAAGACTAAACCACCTCCTTTAATTCCAGGGACTTATAAGAGGCCCAGAAGGCTTCCTTCCCTACTGGAATCAACTCTAATTGGCCAAATGGAAGAGTCTGACATCTTTTTTTTTGTTCTTGCTATTTTAATTGTCAGTTTACTCTCACAGTGACACTGAATCAAAAGAAGGAAAACTGTACATAATCCCACAAAACAATCACAGATGTCCTCATGTTGTTTTGCTTGCCTATAGGTACACACTTGAAATAATTTGTTACCCAAATAAAAATTGTACCACCAGGGAATGAAATACTACAGAAGGTTTAAAATGGAAAGCAGTGTCTCCTGCCCCACCCCAGCCAACGGTCACATATCCCACCAACCACTTTTACCATTTCCATTCCAGTTCTTCCTGAGGCTACCTCTGGAATTCTGATCTTTCCTGGCCTAGCGACTTGACATCGCTGCTCCTCTATTTGCTTCCAATTTTTGTCATATTAGTTTCGAGCTCTAATTTTGATCTCCTAAGTACTCTAACCTATTATATTTAAAAGCCTACTTCCTCAGAGGAGGCTACAGGGACCCCCCCCACACACACACACACTTCTCTTTTCCCTCTACTTTATAACAGCTGCAGGCTGTGCTGTGACTGCTTGTGACAGGACTGATGACAATGGTGCTCTACTCTGTTGCCATCATGAAATCCTGTCACAGCTCTGGGTTTCTTTCTCAAATTAAAAAAACCAGTACCTACTGTTTATATCCTATCTACGCAAACACTGTTCAGTGACGGGCCAATCAAAACAATCTGATTCTATTTCCTTCTCTTTTATTCCAATTTCATGAGTCCTCTGCCTCTTCCAGAAAGAATTATTAGGATCAGGGTCAAATGAATATTCCTTTCTAGTTTGCTTCACATTTGGACAATTGTCTTGTACAATTTGTACATTTTCTTGAACACTTTGTTTACCTTGAAGTCTCTGATTACCTTTTTTTTTTTAATTTGAAGAAACATTCTTTACAAAACCATATTCCTGTCTTGGTTTCAAAATTATTCTCTCCAGAAGTTTCTGTGATGTCTTTTTAATTGTAGTGTTCTCAATTTCTCAGGCTGCATGGATCTTATCAATCCTGGATAGTGGTTGGCATGATCTGAAGATCTTCCTTCAGCTCTGGGAAGTTTCTCTTTTTCTTTGTTTTTTGGCCCAACCACCTTACTTTTAATTTCATAGTCTATTCTTGTTATCATAATTCTCTTTTTTAAACAGCATCTTGTATTTATCTTCTGTTTGCAATTATTTCTTGACTTGCTCTTAGAATAAAACATTTTAAATATTTGGTTCCCCTGAACAGCTGTACTCTTTGGGGTTGGTTTTTCTGTTTTATCTTAGACATTTTTTCTTCCATGTTGAAGGCTCTCTTCAAGCCTGTTACTCCTTGGCTCCCATCCATACTGAAGTGGCTATTGGAAAGCAGATGGAAAGCTCCACAGATGAGTCGGGCTGGCTTAATAGCACACCTTGCTTTAGGGAGGAAAGGGCAAGAACTAGCTGTTAGGATGCAGGTCCTTGAAACTCCAAAACAAGGCAGCCCTTGTTCAAGAGAATACACCAGATTCCCTAGTCCCCCAGACTAATTTTTTAGCACATAACTCATTCCCTGCTTTATTTTTTGCTTACCCACAGCCAGATACTTAATGCAGGACAAGGAAAAAAGGGGAGATGGGGGGAGAAAATTTGGAGTTCATGGACAGACCTCCAATTAACCCTGCTTCCCTGGCCCACCCATCAGTCTGCATCTCTGAGAGGTCCGTGACCACCACTGCTGCAGCCCTCTTCACGCTCCTGGCTTCAGCCTTTCCCACTCTGCACCAGAAGGCGACATCTCCCACCTGCTTTCACCTTGCTCAAGTTTGCAGTAATGGCCTCTCCCATGTTCTTCACCATTGTTGATTTACACTTCAGCCTTTTTTTGAACATGCAGCTGAGCTGACATTCTTAACCCACCCTCTGTGTTACATGTTTTTATGTGGTTGTAATGTTTTGTGTACATACTATTTTGGGCCCTGTTTTCACTCACCTGATATTTTCCATATTGCTACGCACCCAGTTCTGATTATAGTCAACCTAACTCAGCAACAAAGTTGAGTTAGAGCACAACAGAGTCCCTGAAATATTCAGAACCTACTTTTAATTCTAACAAAACCCATTTCAGAAGACTTCCCATCCTCAGTCTTCCTTTAATTCGTGTTGTTAATTGCTGGTTTACATTGAAAATGGCTGGTTTCATATTTCATCACTCAACACCAACTTCCTCATACAACGATTTCTTCCTAGATGAAGTGTCTGGGGCTCTGTATCAAGAATATCTTCAAGTCCCCCATCATTTCCAGGACTGTGTTACAGGGACAACATCTGATTAAGTTTGGGTGGGTGGCTGTATTAAAAAGATTATCTGGTAGGAAATTCAGAATGGTACTGTACCCAACTCCTGTTAAGAGCTCTGACTGAAAGTTTTTCATCAGTGGTCATGATCATAGCTTCTCAGATAAAGGAAGTAGTAAACACATTTTAGTGTACATACAAATCACTTGCGCTGCTTTTGGAAACTGCAGGCTCCTGGGTTTTACTGCCAGAGATTCTGATTTTGTAGATCAGGGTAAGCTTGGTAACGTGTGGTTTCAACACTTACGCCAAGCAATTCTGATGCATGGGGTCACTGAATCACATTCTGAGATTCATACCTCGGTCATCTGATGTCTAGTAAAGTAGGCCTGGCAGTAAGCTTTTCCATCTTGATTATTCATAGGGTTTCTCTCTCATGAGTTTTCTCATGTTGAACAAGGGATGTATTATAACTGAAAGATTTCCCACACTCAGCACATTCATAGGGTTTCTCTCCAGTATGAATTCTCTGATGCCTAGTAAGTTGACACCGCTGGCTAAAGGCTTTTTCACAATGGTTACACTCATAGGGTTTCTCGCCAGTGTGTGTTCTCTCATGTTTTGTAAGGGTTGACCGATCATTGAAGGCTTTCCCACAGTTGATACATTCATAAGGCTTTTCTCCAGTATGTGTTCTCTGATGCTCAGTAAGGCGTGACCTCTGACTGAAAGCTTTAACACACATGTTACACTGATAGGGCTTCTCTCCAATGTGTGTTCTCTGATGCACAATGAGGGGAGACCTCTGGCTGAAAGCTTTTCCACAATAACCGCATTCATAAGGTTTCTCTCCAGTATGGGTTCGCTGATGCACAACAAGCTGTGATCGCTGCCGAAAAGCTTTCCCACAGTCACTACATTCATATGGTTTATCTCCAGAATGAATTCTCTGATGTGAAAGAAGGTGAGAGCTCCCAGTAAAGGCTTTCCCACACTGATTACATTCAAAAGGCTTCTCTCCAGTATGAGTTCTCTGATGTTCAATGAGGTGAGAGCTCCCAGCGAAGGCTTTATCACACTGATTGCATCTATACGGCTTCTCTCCAGTGTGAATTCGCAGATGCCTAATAAGTTGAGTGCTTCGGATGAAGGACTTTCCACACTGGTTACATTCATAGGGCTTCTCCCCAGTGTGTGTCCTTTTATGTGCGACAAAGTCAGAGCTTTGGCTAAAGGACTTTCCACAATGAGCACACTCATAAGGCTTCTCTCCAGTATGAATTCTTTGATGTACAATAAGGTTCGAGTTCCACCTGAAAGATTTCCCACATTCGTGACATTTATATGGTTTTTCTCCAGTGTGAGTTCGCTGATGCCTAATAAGTTTGGAACTCTGGGTGAAGGATTTCCCACACTGGTTACATTCGTAGGGCTTCTCACCAGAGTGAGTTCTCTGATGTACAACAAGGTCATAGCTCTGGCTGAAAGACTTCCCACACCAGGTACATTCATAGGGCTTTTCTCCAGTGTGTGTCCTCTGGTGTACAACAAGCTTAGAGCAACAGCTGAAAGATTTTCCACACTGATTACACGCATATGGCTTCTTTCTGGTCTGAATGTCACAGTCAGTAAAAGATGAGGCCACACGGAAGGCATTACGGTTCTCCTCACATCTGAACGGTGCCTCTCCAGGATCACTTATTTCAGTTTGTACAAGGCATTCATCACACTCACACTGACTTTCCCCAAAATGCACTGGCTTGTGTTCACTCAGAGACATGCTATGATTAACGATATCTCCATAGTCCTTACAGTCATCGAAGTTCTCTGCTGAAAAAATTATATTACGAAAATGAAGGGAGGTACCATAGTTGAAAGAGCCACTACTGACAGTACATTCATAAGGTTTTTTATTTCCCATTTCATCATTTGCAAGTTTATTCAAGTAAATGCTCTGACAGAAGGCTCTAGAACTTTGATGATTTTCACAGGGTTTCAGATCAGCCCAGTCTTTTTGATGATTAATGAAAACAGAATTCTGTTTCAACTTTTTAACCTGTGAGTCTAACTTATGGAAATGTGTTCTTGTGGATAATGTTGGAGGCACAAGGCTTAAGCTCAGACGACTTCCCCGAAGGTCATGCTCACAATGTTCCTCTTGAGTAAACAGTCTCTCTGAGGTGAGTCCTGTTTGACTCAAAGAAGCCAAGTCCTTGTGCTCCCCTAGCTGGTCCCTCCAACCCTGCACTTCTAATGACACCGACCACAGGCCCTCTTCCCGGATGCAGCCTTTCACTTCCACGCATTGGGATGGTTCTTCCACAGCAATATCCTCTTTGGAAGCTGGCTCTTTCTTTTCAAGAGTAGTCTTCCAGTCTGAAAGAAATCCAAAATGCCTGAATGATGGAGAAGCATTTGAGGGGAGGGTGGGATGAAGGAGACCACCAAGTATGAAGAGGTGTCTCTGGGTTGGTTTCTAATCCACGGCCTGTAATTTCACATAGGATGTGAAAGGGAGGGATGGATCAGCAACAGGAAATCAGTGGTAAAGTACAAAAAACAAGCAAAGATAATGAGGTGGTGACCCAGGAGGACTGGTCCCCGAAGAGAGAGCAAAGGAATAAGAAGAAGCAGGGGAGGGTGAAGATTAGAGAATCCACTGAAAGAATTGGATCTGAGGTATACAGCCCTCAATAACCACAAAAGATACTTATGTTCTAACTGCTGGGACCTGTGAATATGGTGCCTTATTTAGAAAAAGGGTCTTTGCAGATATGTTAAGGATCCTGAGATGGGGAAATTATCTGGTGGGCCCTAACTGTCATCACAAATGTCCTTATAAGAGGCAGGAAGAGGGAGATTTTATACACACAGAGAAGGTGATATGAACATGGAGCAAAGAGATTTGAAGTTGTTGGCCTTAAAGACTGAAGTGATGTGGGCATGAACCAAGGAACACCACAGCCACCAGAAGCTGGACAAGACAAGGACAGATTTCCTCCTGCAGCCTCCCATGGCCCTACTGACACCTTGATTTCAGCCCAATGATATCGATTTTGGGTTTCTGGCCTCCAGAACTGTGGGAGAATCAATTTGTGTTGTTTTAAGCCATTCAGCTGGTAATTTGTTACAGGAGCCACAGGAAACTAAGGCAGTATCCTAACTGGTGCCTCTACCTAAATTACTGACCCAGAATCTTAGTTTATCTATTTTCTAGTTCTGGATCTTGAAACAGGACTCTCAATACCAATACTGACTTAATATTCTTAATGCACCATTTCTACCATTTCTTCAGGCTGCTCACAGAGGAAAAAAGTCTCTTGAACCACTCCAAAACTGATGCCACAAACTCCCCAGAAAAGCACTGTTGTCCCTGAAGCAGCATGGTTGGCCAGACTGGGCTGCAACCAGGTTTCACCAACTGGCAACTTCTGAGGCTCATTTTCCTCAGCAGTAAGCCAAGAACAAGAACGCGTAGCTTACAAGGTTTACTGTGAGGCGTAAACAAGTCAATATGTGAGCCTCACCTGGTGTGTGGCATACAGTGCACTGTCAGTACACAGTACCGTTGATAAAGTCACCCTTGTTACAGTCCTAATGGGGACTCCTCCCTCTGTTGAAGATATCAGGCCTCTAACAACGAGTGCCACAGGCTTCCAGCTCAGGACTCTTGCCTGGTTCTCCAAGAGTCCCCCTTTACTTGTCACTCTGCCCATTTCAGTTATGTAGCCACTCACATCCAGTGCTATCAAGGCCTCTGCTCCAAGTCCCCATACTTTGCTCTCTGTGCTCACCAAGGAGACAAAGATCCTCCATCTAGCAAAGTGTTAACTACACTTTCTGGCCATCTCTTAACTTTCAGGAGGATGTTTCCCTCGTGTCAAAGAAAGACAGCCTTTCCCTCTTGGGCAAGGTCCTTACCTACACTCAACACCCCCACAACCAACACTGTTCTCCTTTCAAAACTCTGCTGTGTTCCTTTGGGGTGTGGCCTTGGAATCTCTGATGATGAGAACTTTTTCAAATGCAACAATAGTTCATTGAAGCGGAGTGAAAGAGTATTTGGGGACGAGAAGGAGGAAAGAAATATTTGGGTGGCTAAGATGTGTCCAAGTTGTGCCTAGCCATTGGAAACTGGGCAAAGGAGGTTAAACATTCTACAGCAGTGTATCTGTCAGGATTGTGAAATGAGGAAGACAGACTGTGCAGGTCAGCCAGAAAGTAACTCTATGACAGACAAGAGAGATGCTGCCAGTAAAATGAATTCAGAGTGACATCATTTGAGGACCAAGGATAAGCAAAAGTAGGTGAGACTTCAGAGGAAAAAATAACATGCTGCAGGCAAGAGAGTTACAGGGTAAGAAAGAGCAGGAACACATGCAATAAATTCAACGCCTCCAGGCTGGGGGCATGTCAGAAAGTGGTGTGAACGTCAGAAGGTGGTGTGAAGGACAAACATGATGCTTACTGCTAGATGAAAGCAGCCAGTCAGAAAAGTCCACACACTGCATGATTCCAACCATAGGACAATCTGGAAAAGGCAAAACTACCGAGACAGTAAAATAATCAGTGGTTACCAGGAGTTAGGGTGAAGGGAGGGATACACAAGTGGAGCACAGAGGATTTTTAGGGCAGTAAAACTACTCTGTAGGATACTGCAATGGTGGATACATGACATTATACCTCAGTCCAAACCCCAGAATGTACAACACCAGGAGTGAACCTAACATCAACTATCGATCTCTATTGATAATAACATATCAATACACGTTCATTATAATGAATGTACCACAGAATGCAAGATAGTAACAACAGGGGAAACTGTGGGTGAGGGGCGGGTGGTATATGGGAACTCTGTACTTTTTTGCTCAACTTTCTGTAAACACAAAATTGCTCTAAAAAATAAAGTCTGTTGATTAAAACAAAACAATAAAAAAATCAGAAGCAGCCCCTTGGGGTGATGAGCATGTTCTAAAATTGACTGTGGTGATGGATGCACGTGCTGTGAATATACCAAAAGCCTTTGCAAACTTTAAAATGGCAAACTGTATGGTATGTGAACTGTATCTTGATATAGCTGTCAAAGAAAAAAAAATTCCAATTAGGCTGACACACTGGAACACATAAGGAGGTGGGTCTGTAGGATGAGAAGAGGTGAGAAGCAGGTCCAGGAATGGCGACTTAGTAGGAATCCCGGAAAGAACAGGTTGCTGCCATTTCCTAGGACGCACAAGTTCTCACCACACCTCAGCATCATCTAGAAGTCATGTGAACATCCAACACGCAGGAGGGGGTGGACGTCCAACTGCAGGGCAAAGACTAGTCCTGAAGGGGAGGCCTGAGGAGTTGCTGCCCCAGGTAGAAGCCAGCACGAGGGGCTCGAGGAAAAAAGGGAGCATGAGGACCTGGGAATAAAACAAGGTGGCTGAGGGGTGAAGACCAAAGGGATGACAGGAACAGAGTGAACCCACGGGTGAGAAATGGCCAGACGACAGTGACATGTGTTCTCCATGGGCTAGGATGGAGGGACAGGCTGATGTGGATGAGAACGCGGCTGCCCTGTTAGACATGAGGAGGCAGCAGAGAACACCGAGGAAGTTCCTTGCAAACGGCCTCCCTCATCCTCGGACCTAGGGTCTATGGAGAGCTTTCTGCCCATGTTAACCAACTGGGCTGTGGGCTTGTTCTCACCTCGGAGAGGTCCCTGCTTCACCCTCCAAGGGTCTTCCCCTTGCTCCAGCCAGGAGATCACATCCAGTTTGGGAAGCAGAAGCCCTGGTCAATGGGAGAAAAACACATGACTTGGTGCTCTGCCTGGAGACAAGGAGAGACAAGGAGAACCACGTCCTTGGGCCCAGCGCTTTGCCCTGGGGTCAGATGTGGATGGACTAGGAGGCCCCTGGCACCACCCCAGGGAAAACTCCCTGCTCCCTGAACCACAAGTCACAAACCTGCCGTGGAGGCTGAACAAGTGGCCTACCCAGGATCTGCATCTCAAAGGGACCCACTTCTGGAATGCTTCAGCCCAGTCCGGGCAACACCACTGAGAAGAGCCACATCTTTGAGTCCCAGAGCCCACCTTACCCAGGGAGACCAGGTGGCTGCAGGTCTCCAGAGTCACGTCGATGTACAGCATCCTCTGGGCTGAGTCCAGCTGTCCCCACTCCTCCTGCGTGAAGGTCACAGCCACATCCTTGAAGCTCACAGGGGGCTGAAAGAGCAGAGTGTTACCATGGGGCCCTGCCTCCCTGATGTGGAGGTTGGGGGGCTGGGACAGCACAGGGCCGGGAGACGGTGTGTGTTGAAGATGATGTCCAGGAGCACCCCCAGGGTTCTCGCCTTTGGGCTATACTCAGCTCAGACACAGACCCAGGCCCATGGTGTTATCACTTCTCTCTGAGCATCTTGCTGGTCCCACCAGTGATCTTGACTCTCTCTCCTGGGAAATGCCGGAACCCCACTCAGAGATCCCCACCCCCCACTTCTCTACAAAATCACAGATCTGAAGCCAGTCAAAGAGAATGTTCTGCATCAGCAGTCAGCAAACTCCAGCCCATGGGACAAATCAGGGCTGTGGTGTGTTCTTAGAAGGCTAATGCCATGAGCTGAATTGTTTCCCCCTAAATTCACACATTAAAGTCTTACCCCTTAAGGTGACTGTATTTGGAGACAGGGCCTTTACGGAAGTAATTAAGGTTAATGGAGGTCATAAGGGAGCGCTCTAATGTGATGGGATTGGTGTCCTTATAAGAGGAGAAGGGGATACAGAGGCCTCTCTCCCCACCATGTGGGGACAGAGAAGGCGCCATCTGCAAGTCAGGAAGACAGTCCTCACCAGAAACCAACCCTGCTAGCACCTTGACCTCAGACATCCAGCCTCCAGAACAGAACATTTGAGAAAACAAATGTCTGTTGTTTAAGCCCCCAAGTCTGTGGTATTTTGCTACAGCAGCCAGAGAAAACTAATACACTAAGAATGGGTTTTATGTTTTTAAAGGACCATGTGAAAAAAATATGATAGAGAGCGTATGTGATCTGCAGAGCCTAGAACAGTTCCTACCTAGCCCTTTACAGAAAAGGCTGGTTGAGCCTACTCTCAAGGAAGGCCGGCAGGCAAGGGGCCAGGTGCCCTGGCCCAGTGCCAGGCCTGAGTTGGCATCTCAGCTTCACAACTTACTAGCCGGACATCTGGACGTGTCCATGAACTTCTCCAGCATGAGTTGCCTTGACGTGACTATGAAGACAGCCTCCGGCATCAGGGAGTCTCACAGGACATGAGGGGAACTGAGCCCTGGCACCCGGGAAGCGTGCAGACAATACATGGGGTGTTGGGACCCTGAACGAGGTCAGGGACCTGCTCTTCGCCCTGCCACGTGCTGCAGGCATCTAAGAGTACAGAGGCTCAGCTCTGCCTGCCCTCAAGGCCCACTGAGCAACCACCAAGAACAGAAAGTCTGAAGCAGAGACCTGGCCCAGGGAACCAGGTGAGGGAGACTTGGGCTGGGTCTGGTCCTAGGAGCTCTTGGCTCATACATGCAGGGAAGGCACTTTACCTGCAAGGAGCCCATGGGTTTCTCCCGAAGGCATAAGGAAGCACTGTTGAGCTCTCGTGTGTGCCAGCCTGAAGAGGCAGCTGCTATTCCTGGACCCATTTTACAGCCAAGGAGACTGAGGCAGAGAGTGAAGCTCCCTAACTCACCTGGGATGGGATCGGCTGAGATCGCACTTCCATTTCCTTCTCATACCTGAAGAAGCTGTCGTGAAGAGGGCAGACATCCTCAGAAGGCAAGGCTGGGGTTGAGGAAATAATTAGGGATTCAGCCCCACCTCAGAACTCCCAGGCTTGCGAGCCCACCCCCAGCCCCAGACAAAGGAGAGGTGGCCAGCTCAGCAGAGGAACATCCCCTTGGGGTGTGAGGAGCAGAGAGGCAGGGCTCTGACCACGCAGCCTCCCTGTCCAAGGCTCTGAGGTCAGCCGAGGCGGCTAAGCTGGCTTTCCAGGGGCACAGTGGACCAGCTGCCCGGGTCTGGGATGCCCCAGGCTCAAGGTAAGTGCCCAGGCACGAGCCGGGGTGTCTGAACTGCCAGCCCACAGATACGCAGTCGCCCCTCAGCACTCAAACAAAGGAGGGCCAGTTTCTCTTGTCATTTCTACATAGGGGGAGGTGGAGGTGGAGTGACAAAACAATTGTACAATTTAAAAATATCCCAATGAGTCCGGCCCGGTGGCACAGCGGTTAAGTGCGCGTATGCTCCGCTTCAGCAGCCTGGGGTTCACAGGTTCGGATCCCGGGCGCGCACCGACACCCCGCTTGTCAAGCCATGCTCTGGCGGCATCCCATATAAAGTAGAGGAAGATGGGCAAGCATGTTAGCCCAGGGCCAGCCTTCCTCAGCAAAAAGAGGAGGATTGGCATTGGATGTTAGCTCAGGGCTGATCTTCCTCACACACAAAAAATTAAAGTTAAATAAATAAAAAAACCACAGTGAAACATCGGCTGGTTTCCAAAAATGGGGAGGAGGGGAATGGGGATAAGGAGGATATGAAAATCCCCAAGAGGACAGCTAAGGGAACTTGGTGACAGGGTGTTGTCCCAGGTGCACCCTCCCTCACGCTGTTCTGGAGGTGCCAGGGTGCTGCCCCATGGCCTGGGCGGCTCGCCTATCACCCTCTGCTTTCCTTCACTTTGTCATCGCTTCCCACTCTGCTTGTCCCACTGAGACAGCCAAGCAAAACCCCTCCAGAATCTTGCCCCAAATCTATCCCCATATTTGACTCCTGCTCACCCTACCTGTACCAAAAGCACACCCACACTCATGCCCATGCAGGCACGCGCACTATCTCCCCAGTCACTGGTCATTGGCATGGCCCAACATTCCTGAAATACACCCTGGCCGTGCCTTTGCTCACACCCAACAACTGCTCACTCCAAAGATGCGCCTTTGCTTTGCCTGGTGCCTCTGGTTCACAAAGAAGCTTGAACCCTCACCCCCTTGAAACTCGGAACAACTACCACCTGGCCTAGAGGCCCGGAGGGACCGACCACTGCCACTCATGACTTCCAGGAGGCAGACATTCACCATTCTCCCAGGTTTGAATGCCGGCATCTTCCTCACCCCACTTTCTCTATAAAACCCATTTTCCTGGAGAATCAAGGATTGAGTCACCCATCAGGGAAATCATGCTCTCTCCGTGCCTTGTGTTTCTGGCAGGTCTCACCTTTGCCTTCAAATGCTTGGGTAAGTTCTTCCACCAGTGTCATCTCCTCTTTGTGGTTCTCCGGGTGCCGGGGTTTCTCTTAGGTCTTGAGCCCCACAGAGAGTGTGTCAGGGGGGCCTGCTCCAGGCCACCACCAGCAGGAACACAGGACCCGCAGCCGGCCGGAGCCTCAACACTTGCAGTTACTGGAACCACAAAACCCCCGGGGGCAGCTTCCCGCCAGCTCTCGTTTCCAAGACAATCTCTTCTGAGAACCCGACTGCTTCCACACGCAGATGGGGGCTGAGAGCTCCCTTAATTCCGCAAGGACGCTCTCCTTCTGGGCACAATCTGTATGTCGGGTCCCCATCTCTCTTCCTCACACAAACTTAATGCTCTTCAGGCAAAACAAGCATTTAACTCCTCCAAGAATAACTAGAAAAAGAAGAGAGAGGGCTGAGCAGCTATTTCAATGCTGATGCAGAAGACAATGCCTTCACAATGCAGGGCTGTGTATGACCTGGCGCTGGACCAGGACAGATATGGCAGCAATACACATACAAGGAATGGAATGCCAGAATGATCAGAACTGCTATCAAATAAGGACCTTGGGGGGAAAACCGTTCATATCCCACTAAAAAACGTTTAAGGCAGAACATAAGTCTGTGACAAAACGTTCAACATGCAAGTCTCTCAGAGTTGGTGCGAGCACACACTTACCTGACTCGCAGCATTAAACTTACTCAAGGGCCGGCTCCGTGGCTTAGCGGTTAAGTGCGCGCGCTCTGATGCTGGCGGCCCGGGTTTGGATCCCAGGCGCACCCCGAGGCACCACTTCTCCGTCCAGCGCGAGGCCGAGTCCCACGTACAGCAACTAGAAGGATGTGAACCTATGACATACAACTATCTGCTGGGG